CCCGTGCGGCGCCCCCGGCAGCTCCAGGGACCCGCTGAGCCCGGGCCCCAGCCTGTGCCTCGAAGGTTTATGTGTTTATGTCCTTCGATCGATTCCTCTCTCTACAGTTTGCACTTAGTTTCTGAAATATCAAGAACCATCCTGGCCATTTCTCAACAGCTTTGCCTAATGACGCGATGCATTTTTATGTCTGCATTCCGCAAAGGTGCCACGATTACCAATACGGCCTGTAGTGTGCAGCTCTGACTAGCTTCCAACCTCGTCATTAAAATGGTCAAAAGAAAACAAGCCCTCCAGCCAGGGGTTTCAGGAAGTTCTGTTCCAGTTTGGTGTCTACTCCGGCCTTTAGCTGGCGAAGTCAGTGGCCAGAGTGAAGCGTGACTCAGGCTTGCGGGTGGCGAGCTTGGAGAACCTCAGCTCTCCCATCCCACCCTATTTTTGTTCTTTTATTTTTAAAAAAAATGTATTTTTCTTGATTTCAGAGAGGAAAGGAGAGGGCGAGAGAGAGAAACATCCATGATGAGAGAGAATCATGGATCGGCTGCCTCCTGCACGTCCCACACTGGGGATCGAGCCCGCAACCCGGGCCTGTGCCCTTGACTGGAATGGAACCCGGGACCCTTCAGTCCTCAGGCAGACAGTCCCTTCTCACCACAAATGCATCGAGGGACACTGCAAAGTCAGTCCTTTGCCACCCACAAAAAAATTCAACAGAAACACCCACAAGCCGCCCGGCCGGCGTGGCTCAGTGGTTGAGCACCGACCTATGAACCAGGAGGTCACGGTTCCATTCCCGGTCAGGGCACATGCCCAGGTTGCAGGCTCCATCCCCAGTGTGGGGCGTGCAGGGGGCAGCCGATCCGTGATTCTCTCTCATCATGGATGCTTCTATCTCTCTCTCCCTCTCCCTTCCTCTCTGAAATCAAGAAAAAATATATTTTAAAAGAATAAAAATAAATAAACACGGACACGTCTAAATCCAGCGGAGATGAACTATAAACCCGCTGGGGAGAGGCCAGGATTAGGAGCCACAGCCCCCACATCCAGGGACGCCCGGAGATGCGGCTCCAGCGGCAGGTGGGACCTGTGTGTATTCGATGCCACAGACGCAGCCCGGGCCCCTCACACAGGGGCACTCAACGCTGAGTTATCAGTAAGGCCGCCGAACACGCTTCAGATGGAAGCAAACTGTCACGACGCAGAGACAGCTTCTGTGTGCAAAGCCATGTCCCCGATGGAAAATGAGTTCTTACTCCAGCTGCCCAGGGTCCCGGGAGTGCAGCCACGCGGGCGTGGGGAGGCGCGAGGAGGTGTGAGGAGGACGGCACGGCACAGTCACCTCCGTGTTTGCTCTCTCCGCAGCGAGCGGCTCGAGGTGGGGGGTATTTGTCTTGCTATAGATTCAGCAAAGCAGACAGACCCTCTCAGTCAGGTTCGAACGCAGATCTCATCCTGAGCCTCCCCCTGACCCTCTCTCTCTCCTTCCCTCTCAACCGTGAAATCTGCAGAGTAGAGAGTAAACCTCTCATCTGTAAGGCGGTTAAAAAGAATGTCAAGACGATGGTGTGCGGTGCCCCGGCCAAACCGCCAGACCATGACCCGATGCCCAGCGCGCAGATACCCACAGCTTTCGATCTCCAGGGTGCAGTTCTGCTCGTCCAGGGGGTACCGCCTCAGGTCCATCATGCACGCCGCCGTGGTGGTGATTCTGAAACGCACACAGTGGGGGGCAGAGGGCAGAGACGGGGTGAGAAGCGCGGCAAGAAAACGGCTCCCACATCAGCCACGAGTGGGTCCCCCTCCTCCCGACACCCCCGGTCCGCCGCGAGGCTGTCTACGGAAGACGTGCTCAGGATACCGGAAAGCCACACAGCCCCGGCCGGGTTGCTCAGTGGTTAGAGCGTCGGCCTGCAGACCGAAGGGTCCCGGGTTTGAGTCCTGTTCCTCGGTTGCAGGCTCGATCCCAGGCCCTGGTCGGGGTGCACGTGGGAGGCAGCCCATCGATGTGTCTCTCTCACATTGATATTCCTCTCTCTCTCTCTCTCTCTCTCTCTCTCTCTGTCTTTGTCTTTCTCCCACCCCCTTCCTTTCACTCTCTCTAAAAGTAAATGGAAAAATATCCCCGGGTGAGGATTAAAAAAAAGGAAAAGCCACACAGAAACCTCGAGTCCCATAAAATTCCCGTGGAGTCTCGTTGGCTTTGGGGCCTCAGGCAGAGAGGGGCTCCCAGGAAGCTCTTCTGTCCGGTCTGTCCTTTCTTTTTTTGCTTATTTTTTTTTAATTTTTGGGTTAATCTCCACCTGAGGATATTTTTTCCATCGCTTTTCTTAGAGTGGAAGGCCAGGAGGGAGGAGGGAGATAAACGTCCATGGGGGCTCCCGTCCGCTGCCTCCCGCACGCGCCCCCCACTGGGGCGGGGATCCTGCACCCAGGTAACGTGCCCTGGGGACTGGGAATCGAACCCGAGACCCCTCGGTCCCCGGGCCAGGGCCAGTCCTTTCTTTACACGTAAGTCGTACTTGGAAGGTGTCGAAATGAAGGCAGTAAAAACTATGATGGGCGAGTGGAGACGTGAGGGCTGTGCAGGACTGGACGAGGCCGCAGGAGAGGCGCTGACTTCTCCCCTGGGGACCGCAGGCAGGCATACCCACATCCTCACTTCACCCCTCACTGGACGTAGCCACGCTGGTGGAGAGCTTGCTTCGGGCCCAGCCCGGAGCTCAGCACCCGGACAGGCACTGCACCATTTAATGGGACAACAGCCGCTGCGCAGACCTACTGTGACTCCGATGGGCCTTTGTAAAGGGGAGATGCTGCCGCTGCGGCCGCTGGGGGTTCAGTGAAAGTCTGAGCTCACCTGGCAGGTGAGCGTGAGGAGGGCCCGGACCTGAAGGGCGGAGTGAGCGTGCCTGGGAGGGGCAGGGATTGGAGGAGCCCAGTTTCAAGTGAGCTGGCGAGTTGCTGGGTCTGAGGGAGGGAGGACGGAGGGTATGTGGTCAGTGGCCTGCGTAAGGCCAACACCCGAAGCAGGTGGCGCAGCCCTAACTTCGGGAGTAGCGGTGGGAGTAAAACACGGCATAATCCTTCTCCTGGAAGGTAATTTATCACGTACGTCTTTGCTCATGGGAAGGTAATCGGGGGACCCTGACAAAGCAAGGGTTTGGGGGTTCAGCACGCCTGGGCTCATTCTGTGAGCCTTGCCCCTGGCCGGGGAGCTCAGTTGGTTAGAGCGTCAACCTGATACGCCAAGGCTGCAGGTTCAATCCCAGGTCAGGACAGACACAAGTATCAACCAATGAATGCATCAGTGAGTGAACAGCAAATCAATGCGCCCCCCCCATCAATAAATAAAATATATTAAAAATACATATAGTTTTGGAATAAAATGGCGGCCAAACCAATTAGAAGCCTTTGTTTGAACCTTCTGAAAGAAGTTCTAGCTTCATTTTTTAAAAAATTTTTTTTATTGATTTCAGAGAGGGAGGGAGAAACACGATGAGAGAGAATCATTGATCAGCTGTCTCCTGCAACCTGGGCACGGGCCCCAACTGACCTCCTGGTTCGTAGGTCGACGCTCAACCACCGAGCCACGCCGGCCAGGCGAGAAAATAGTTGATGCTTGGAAACAACCTCTTCTCACTACGAGAACACGGTCGCCCGCGAGTCCCTGGGTGAGGAGCACTCACTGGCGTTTCTGCACAGTCGTCAGAGTCATGGGTTCATGGTTTCCCAGAAAAAGACCGGGATGACGTGCGAACGACGTCATGGAAAGCCCGCCCCTGGCCAGAGAGCTCCAACTACCCGGGACAAAGCAAACACCCTCCTGATCCCGGGCTGGGCGGGAACAGGGCAGGGAGCCCAGGGGAGCTAGACGGGGCCTGACCTACCAGCCTGGGCTGCCGCCGGGCCAAGGTCTCAGGGATGCAGCTCGGCCGGCTAGGGTCTCGGGGACCTCCCAGGAGGAAGGCAATCCCTGTTGGGTTAGACCTTCATCGACAGGAGACTAACAACAGTTCCGGCCCGGCCGGTGTGGCTCAGTGGTTGAACATCGACCTATGAACCAGGAGGTCACAGCTCGATTCCCGGTCCGGGCACACGTCTGGGTTGTGGGCTCGATCCCCAGTGTGGGGCGTGCAGGAGGCAGCCAATCAATGATTCTCTCTCATCATTGATGTTTCTATCTCTCTCTCCCTCTCCCTTCCTCTCTGAAATCAATAAAAATATAATATTAAAATAACAAAACCATGATACATAGATTGGGCGTGTGTGTGTGTGTGTGTGTGTGTGTGTACATATGATGTAGAATATATGTACATGGTCCTTCGGTTCACAGGGATCATGCACACAGTATAGATGAGTTTAATGAAATGATCGGTATTTTGACATAAGGATGTGCTTTTTTTTGGTCCAAAAATTCAAATGACTCTCCGGTCAAATGCGTCTCGATGGCTCTGGTGGTTTTGAAAGTCTAAGGGCAGGGGTGTCGCGAGGACCAGCCTTCAAGGGAAGCAGCTGGCCGAGGAGCTGCGGAGCATGCGTGGACTGTGGTGGCCGGCTGTTTCCTTCCTGACAGCCGGGCGAGGCTCACAGAGACCTGCAGGCTCGCTTCAAAGACAGGAGGCTCTGCCCTGGCCGGCCGCTCAGTGGTTAGAGCGCTGGCCCGGGGCACCCAAAGGTCTCGGGTTCCAATCCCCGTCAAGGGCAGCCCATGGATGTCTCTCTCTCTCCCTCTCATTTCCTCTCCTTGTAAAATCAATAAAAACGTTATTTTTTAAAAAATAATTAAATACAACATAAACCCAGTGCAAAGTCAATGCAAGACACACAATATTTTTTAAGGGCGCCGTTTAGCAAGGGGGCGATAGTCACAGCATGGAACCCCCTAGCAGCGGTGGAGCATCCTGGGAAATTTTGGCGGTTTCCAAGGTAACCAGGGAAGCCCCGGACCTCCTCGGGTCCCAGACAAGCAGCCTAGCTTTCTGGTTCGAGTGAGTGCGTTAGGAGGCCTGGGGAGCGATGACTCGCACCCACCAGGGAGCCTCGCGTTTAGTCAGGCCCATCAATCCTGGCGGCCCCGCCTCGCCTCGGACAGCACTCCACGGAGCCCAGAGCCGGGGTCAGCAGCAGTCAAGGGTTTTTTCCGACTCTGCAGAAGGCGCTGGGCGAACGTTCTTGAAAGCTTTGCCGTGTCAGGGTAGTAATACTCATCACGGGCCTTTGTGGTTAGAATATGGGAACTCCAGCCTGGGGGGCCTGGGTGCTCAGAGTTGGCAATTCAATCAGATCAAAGCAGTGCAAGCAGGAGGTCCCCTTGCTCATGACTATATTTTAAATATATTTTTAATACATTAAATATATTTTTATTGATTTCAGAGAGGAAGAGAGAGGGAAAGAGAGAGAGAAACATCAATGATGAGAGAGAATCATGGATCGGCTGCCTCCTGCAGGCCCCACACTGGGGATCGAGCCCGAAACCCAGGCATGTGTCCTGACCAGGAATCGAACCCTGACCTCCTGGTTCCTAGGTTGACACTCAACCACTGAGCCACGCTGGCCGGGCTTGCTTGTGACAAGTCCTAGTCACAGCGATGCCCCAGATCCTAGAGGATTCCTTTCTCTGCAAAGCTCAGAGGTTTCATGATGTCTCCTAATTCATTTGAGGATGTGGCCTCGCCGGCCATTACCACCTCAAGGGAGACAGTCAGGGCCCCGAGGGGCAGGCGGGCAGACAGACAGACAGACAGACCTGAGCCCGTACAGCACCGTCCCGTCAGGGTGCAGGCGGATCATGCGGTTCTTCACCGTCACTCCGTGCACGAAGGACTTCTTGTCGTTCAGGAAGTAGGTGTCCGGCACCCACAGCTGGTCGGCCACGCGGTTGTCCAGCGTGAGGTTGAGCGGGATGCCGGAGTAGGCGAGCCTCTTGTCCCTCCAGTACTGCTGGAAGTACATGGTCAGGGTGTAATCCTGGGGGGAGGAGAGACAGATGTCAGACTCTGCTCAGCCGCTGGCCGCGGCCAGGCCGGGGCCCGGGAGGACAGACACTGCTTCCTTCCACTGATGTTCAACCACTGAGCCCCATGCGAACGACGTCATGGAAAGCCCGCCCATGGCCAGAGAGCTCCATCTACCCGGGACAAAGCAAACACCCTCCTGATCCCGGGCTGGGCGGGAACAGGGCAGGGAGCCCAGGGGAGCTCCCATGATAGAAGCACATCCTGTAAGCAGGGGGTGCTTTCTGGGAAGGCCAACGCCGGGCCGGTCCCACCCGCCCCACCCCTCTCATAAAAGCCCGATGACAAACTCAGGGTCGGCGTAAATAAACACCGAGGCGAGAATGTGTTCAGGTCACAGTCTCTCCTATAAAGAATCTTATAAACAAAACCATTCAACAGGAGGACCACGTATCGCTCTGGGCTTCTTTAGGGATCATAAAGCCCTTTGATAATCTGATGAAAGCACGGCCCCTCTAAGTGTGTGCGCGTGGATGTGCATGTGAGCATGCCCATGTGAGTGTGCACGGCAGTGTATGCGTGCGTGCGTGCGTTCAGGTGTGTCTGTGTATGTGTGCATGGATGTGCATGTGAGTGTGCGCGGCTGTGTATGTGTGCGTGCGTGCGTTCAGGTGTGTCTGTGTATGTGTGCGTGCGTGCACACGCGCATGTGTGTGTCTGTGTGTGCATGCGTGTGTGCCTCGAGTTAACCAGCATGACACACTGACGCCCACCGAGATGCACGTCTCCCCACGCCTGGTGGGCTTCCACACGCTTGTGAAGTCACGTGCCTAGAATCTGCACACTGTTTTCTATTGGAAGAACTATGACACAAGGTGTTTTGATTTTGACCCTGGGGTTCCGAAATCCCACTTCATGCAAAAGTCAGAGGCCGGGGTCTCCGGGGGTAAGAACGCCAGGCCAGCCCAGGGTCCCCTGGTTTAGAGCCCGAGGGCTCAGGTAGCGATGGGGGGTGGTGGCGGGGCAGGAGGAGCCCCGATGGCTGGGGCTGGGAGCAGGCATTCTTGAACACGAGTCGTTCGCGAGCATAGGTGAGTCCTTTCAACATCTCCGGAGCATACACAGGCAGCAGCAGCGGTAACAACACACACCAAATTAGCCGAAGAAAACCTCCTCCCAGCTGTAGGTGTATAATTCGAGAGGCTCCCGTAAATTGCAGGGAGAGATCAACAACAACACTGCTTCCCCGCGCGCGCAAATCTCCTGGCATTTATCGCATTACGGCGGCCAGAACACATCTCTGGGAGGGAGAATATCGCTCATTATTCCGCAATTAAGTGATTGACTACATCTCCTCAGCGCAGGAAATGGAAGGAGAGGATGACTAACCCCGAGAAGGCAAGGCAATCTCCACGCCGCATGGCAAGATTGGAACCGCAGCTGGGAGTCACAGGGCACCTGGGCCGGCACCTGCTCCCGCGAGTCGAGGATAGCAAGCCTCCCAGGTAAATTGCTCTCGGGTCAGCGAAGATGGGAAATTGCTCCGCGCCGCCGCTTACATAAGCCCTAAGTGCTGGAGGCCTCCCGGCAGGCGCTTCTGCAGTGAAGTTTAGGCTGGGGCGTCTTGGCACCTCTACGAACACCGTGCGTGTGGAGGGCTCGGGTCCGTTCCTGTGACCTGGCTCTTCCCACAGCAGACTCCGAGGTGACTGTCGAACCCGTGTGGCAAAGGGGGAGGACTGGCCACCTCCCTGCCATCCCCTCTTCCTCCCTCCCTCTTGCATCGCGTAGCCACCGACCGTAGGTCAACACCCTGCCGGGTGCTAGGGACCCAGAGATAAGAAACACAGCCCTGGCCGGCGAGGCTGGGCTGGTGGGAGCATCCTCCCCTGCATCGAAAGGTCGCCGGCTGGATTCCCCGTCGGGCACATGCCCAGGTTGTGGGTTCGGTCCCTGGTCGGGGTACATATGGGGGGCAATCGACCGATGTTTCTCTCTCTGTCTCTCAAATCAACGAAAACATATTAAACAAAATAGAAACACATCAGCCCTGACTGGTTGGGCTCAGTGGATAGAGCGTCGGCCTGCGGACTGAAAGGTCCCAGGTTCGATTCCGGTCAAGGGCATGTACCTTGGTTGTGGGCACATCCCCAGTGGGGGGTGTGCAGGAGGCAGCTGATCGATGCTTCTCTCTCATCGATGTTTCTGACTCTCTATCTCTCTCCCTTCCTCTCTGTAAGAAATCAATAAAATATATTAAAAAAAAAAAAAGAAACACATCATTTGTACCTTTAAGTAGTTCGCATTCTGGGTCCCCAAAAATCAAACACCCCTCCCTCCAAGTTACAGTGATCAAGAGAAGGCATTTTGGCTTTTTCTTTTTTTTAAAAAAAATATTTTTATTGATTTCAGAGAGGAAGGGAGAGAGATAGAGAGTCAGAAACATCGATGAGAGAGAAGCATCGATCAGCTGCCTCCTGCACGCGCCCCCCCCCCCCCCCTGGGGATCGAGCCCGCAACCTGGGCATGTGCCCTTGCCCGGAATCTGACCCAGGACCCTTCAGTCTGCAGGCCGACGCGCTATCCACTGAGCACACCAGCTAGGGCCATTTTGGCTTTTTCCAACCAGTCCCCCAGTCCTCTACCCTCTGGCAGCCAGCAGTCTGTTCTCTGTGTCTGTGAGTCCATTTCAACTTCGTTTGTTCATCGATTTTATTCCTTAAATTCCACATAGAGGTGAATAGACTCGAATTATTAGATTTGCTGAACTGAGTAGCACTTAAACTCATTTCTGTCTGAATCCCTTCAAGAGGGCAGACGAGGCAAAAAAAAAAAAAAAAAGAAAAAGAAAAAAGTTCCACAGAAAACAGGGGTGAATATTTCCATTTTCCACCGAGAGCCCCTGCTATCGACTTATCCTCCCAGACGTCAAAAGGCCTTTGATTCTGTATAGGTGCCTCTGGGCTAGGATTTCACAATGGCTTCTCCTCTCCTCAAAGGCGGGTCACGTGGGTTAGCGCCGCCGCCACACGGTTTAAAGCATTTTCCCGTTTCCAAGAAGATGTGCTATTTTTAGGCAGCGAGCCCATTCATTTCTGAGATCAGGTCTATTTCTGGCTCCCACCCAGAAATGGTGAGGTTATTGCTCTTCCACAAATCACAACAGGAACAATGCTACACATCCTGTAAGTGAAAAATGTTGGCTTGATCGTGGGGTTGTGTGTGGGGTTTTTTTTTCTTCCTTTTCCTGGACTGTTATTCCTTTCAGCGGGAATATGGGGATGGGTATCTGTGATGGGATCACAGAAGGCTGCCCTGTCGCCGGGGACACGGCCATCACAGCCCAGGTTCCCAGAAGGGAACCAAGACGCGGTTTCCTGTGTGTGTGTGTGTTTTCTTTTTCCTTTTCCTGGACTGTTATTCCTTTCAGCGGGAATATGGGGATGGGCACCCGTGCATGGGATCACAGAAGGCTGCCCTGTCGCCGGGGACACGGCCATCACAGCCCAGGTTCCCAGAAGGGAACCAAGACGCGGTTTCCACGCCCTCCATCGAGCCTCGGGCCCGAGGAGAGAGAAGCCCAGCGCTGGCCTCAGAGAGGAAGTAGATTATAGTTTCCTCCTGCTTTGGAGGAGCCTTTTCACGGTGCACGGGGCCCCACAGATTGGGTAGCTGAGCAGGAATCGAGGAGAGAGAAGCCCAGCGCTGGCCTCAGAGAGGAGGTAGATTATAGTTTCCTCCTGCTTTTTCACTGTGCACGGGGCCCCACAGATTGGGTAGCTGAGCAGGAAGACGGTCCTTCGTCTGGAACCCGGGAGACCCGTGTCCCCTCCAGCGGCATCCACACGGAGACGGTGGCCGACATCCCGGACCGTCACTGTTCTTCACACGCGACCCCTCTTCCCGGCTGCTCCCTCAGCTCTTCCTTTTCCTCTTAAGACTAGGGAACCCTAGGGCTGTTCATTCAATTTCCTTTTTTAAAAAAAAAAATTATTTTTTTTAAAATATATTTTATTGATTTTTTGATTCAGAGAAAGGAACAAATGTACCTCTTAACTGGTTTACTTTTCTGGGAAACTAACATGGTTAATTCTCCTCTCCAATCAAATGCAAAATTTTAGCAAATTTATATAACAAAAAAGTCCATGCCCTTGACCGGAATCGAACCCGGGACCCTTCAGTCCACAGGCCAACGCTCTATCCACTGAGCCAAACCGGTCAGGGCGACACATTCATTTTTAAATGCGTTTCCAGGAGTCGGGGTGGAGCTGTGGCCCAGCCAGGCCACCGAGCACCACCCTCGCGGGCGTCCACGCGGTGCCTCTGAGCAGGCGGTCTCTGCTCAGCGAGGCGCTGGTTAGACGTGCCTTTCTCCCGTCACCCCAGGGTGCGAAGCCTTCCACAGGCGCAGGGGTGCCAGAGCCAACGCCGTGGAGGCACTCGCTGCTGTGCTCATCAGAATCGGAGTGTGTCATTGGCCACGGGCGGCGGGATGGACAGCTGGTGACTCCCTTGCTTGACGTGCACCTTTGGCACAGAAGCGGCTGGCACCTGAGGTGTGCGGGGCGTGACGTCCCACGTGCTGCCATTCCTCCGGCCACGCTCGGCCGGCGAGTTCAACCCCGTCCCCTGAGAGGCCCTCCGCTCCAGGGCAGTCGGCGGGGACTGTGAATCGAATGAAATAACCGAGGAGAAGGTGTGGAGTGAGAACCTCCTGATCCCCGAGAAGGGGGCAGAGGAAGGTTTTTCAACTGAGAAGTATCAGGCCCTCCCCGCGTGCCTCAGTGGTCGGACGTCGCCCTAGGAACCAGGAGGTCACGGCTCGATTCCCGGTCAGGGCACAGGCCTGGGTTGCGGGCTCCATCCCCAGTGGGGGGCATGCGGGAGGCAGCCGATCCATGATTCTCCCTCATCCTTGATGTTTCTATCCCCCTCAATAAATCAATAAAAAATATATCTTTTAAAATAGGAAGATAGAGACGATAGATAGATGATAGACGGCTGGATG